TCTATCTAGTCTAGACTTCCAGTATTCCACGCCACTAGCTACACATGACTAAAATTCTGGGCAATCCATGTTCACTTCGTCTTCTGCCTCGTCATCGGACAGAAACGGGTTGTCTTCCACTTTAGGAGGAGCCTCTCCCCCCACTCCCCCCTCCCCCTCTCCCTCATCCTCTGCCCAATCCCCCATGAGGTCGGGGACTGCCTCCTCCTCCACCCTCACTTCTGCCCCCTCAATCGCCTTCGCCTTACGCTTCCTCTCCGCTGCGGCAAACAGAACAAACTTAGCAGGGCGCCTCAGCTTCTCGCGCCAACACCCAAGGGCCTCGTCCCAGTCAGTCTCGTACTGCAGTAGGGAAATGACCATCAGCTCGATGAGGCGCGCATTGCACAACGCGCCCCGCACCCATGACTTGATGACGTTCTTCCACGAGAAGCCTCGTTCACACTCCACTGTGCTAAGCGGCAGGACAGCGCACGCCTGCCACAAGCGCATGAGGTTCGGCCAGCGCCTGCCAAAAGGGTTGGGGGAACAGAGTACACGGAACAAGACCAGTGCATTAGCGATGCTATTCAACAATCGATAAACAACAACATCCAAAGGGAAGAATATAACCGCCCAAAAAAATTGCAACAATCGTCCTTCGAGCAGCACTCTCTCACAAGGTCGACTTCGTCGAGCCGAGGTAGTTCGTCAGGCCTTGATGGAATCCCTCGTCGGCATGGAGGCTCAGCATCAGTGGTGCCCACGTGACCAGCTCCTTTTGCGCAGCTTGCAAGGAAAAGCCTGTCAGCCTGTTGTCGAACAAGGCACTGCAGCCATGTAGGTACTCCTTCAGCTTCTTCTCTCTCTGCTGCTTCATCCGGGGCCACTTCGACACGCGGAAGAGCTTCGTCGGGCCGAGATTGTTCAGGTCCAGCATCCTCGTCTTCAGGAAGCTTATCGTGTCCTTCGCGAACTGCGCGCAGAGCCGCTCGCAATCGGGGTACTTGCTGCGGAAGGCATGCCCGTCGATCTGCTTCTCGTGCATGGTGTAGGTGTGCGTGACTGGGTTGCCGTCCTTGTCGATGCCCCGCACCTTTACGCGTTTGCCCCCTCCGCGCCCGTAGACCGCCAAGAAAGCCGAAAGCCACGTGCCTTCGACACCCCCACCGAACACCTCTCCGCACTCCAAGTAGCGGTGGCGGAGGTCCCCTGTCGCCTCGTCGATGTCCTTTGTCACTTCGGTGATATTGACCTGATGGAAGTGACAGACAAGGGAGTGGAGTCAGAGGGTGATTCCAAACGTGGATGCATGGGACAAAAACTACAACATCCACAGTGGTAGAAGCTCACCTCCCTCTTTTGGAATTTGAGGTTGAGCTCATTCATCACTCCGAGCACGTCCGCCAGGAAAAAAAGACACAACTGGAACTTGTAACAGATGACGACCTCATACAGCTCATGCCCGTACTCATAAAAGAGAATGATAGCGGCGCCAAGGACCTTACAGAGGCGCCTCACAGCCTCACCCCTTGAAAGCCAGCGCACGGTGTGAATTCCTTGCACTTCAAGGTTGGTGTTGTGTATTGCCCGCTGCAGGTACTTGAAGCGTTGACTCCAGACACATGAACGTCCCAGAAGATCGGCCAGAGTCCGAATCACAAGGTCGACCATGTCGAAGTCTGGAGAAGCAGTGGCCGCGTCCTTCACCGCCAAGGCTTCCCTGCATGGTGCACATGAAGGAATTTTAGACAAGCAGTTGTAGGAACCCTAAGCGACTGAAATGACGTGCTGTTAAACCTGTGGGCGATGCAGTGCGACGAGACAAGGTGGGGGATGTGCTCGCGAAGTCGGGCGACGAGACCATTGTCTCGGCCGACCATGACAGAGGCGTCGTCGGTGCTCATGCTGTTGATTCGGGAGAGGTCGATGCCAGTTGCTCGCAAGTGAGCCAGAAGAACGGCGAGGAGAGACGCGGCATCGCACTTTTCGACGGTCAAGAGAGCAAAAAACTCTGTGACAACACGATGCACACGCAAGAAGGTCAGATAAACAATAAGATGTTTACCGCGAGTACGGTCAGTGCTCTCGTCGCAGCTGATGCCGAGGTAGGGTGAGGCGAGAATGTAGTGCATTTGTCGGCGCTGCAGGTAGGTTGCCAGGCTGCTGACGAGCTGACAGAAGCCATACCTGTAGTACCAGAAGTGACAACAAGGTGTTGGTTAGACCTTTTTGAAAAATGAAGGACATGGTGTACTTCGAATAAGTGCGTTACCATGTCAGGTAGACTCCGTAAGACTGCAGCGGAATGTCCGGTGTCTCCTGCTCGGCCATGAAGCGGAGTAGCCTCGGGTACATGCTGATGGGTGCATCACACTTGCACAGGAAGTCGACGCAGCGTAGGAGCCTCATGACGTGCTTCCCCTCGATGTCAATCCGCACGTAATTCTCCATGCGCCTCTGGGTGCTGGCGATGTCTTCGGCGATCTCCATCTGACCCTTGACTGCTACTTCGTGGGCTGTCGTGTGTCCGTCGAACCGCATCGCTTGCGTCTGCAGGTCACGTGCCCCGTTGCGGCCGTTGGAGTACGGTGTTGTCTCTTTGCCAAAAGCCTTGCACACACTGCACTTCAAACCAGGGTAACCGTCTTTCGTTTTCGTTAGCAGAAGCCAAGGGAAAAATGGAAGCCAGCTGGTCTTATACTTGTGCTCAGCCATGAGATACTTCTGCTCGATGAGTTCCTTCTTTGAGAGATTCGGCGGCTCGGGTTCTGGAATACCAGGGGCCTGAGGTTCAGGCGACGTGCGAGGCGGCGACCGTCGATGTAGCTTCCCGCCGAGGACTATCGTGCTCTGGGTGTACTTCCCGATGCGTGCTTTCTTCCCAGATGAAATCGTCAACGCACACTCGACCGTGTAACGCACGGTCGTGGCTGTCTCGCAGTCTGGAACCAAAGGGCCCCGGCTAGATGAGGCGACAGCGGGCGGAGGTACATAGGGAGCGGCGGGAGTAGATACGGGTTGTGATGGTGTAACGACTGCGGTAGGAGACCGCAAGATGTCTAGAGCGGATCTACGGACCTCCACGGGGGGGTCTCTACCTAGTCCAGAACCATCATCGGCAGTGGGAGACTCACCAGAGTCTCCTACATCCGCCATGGCTAGAAGCGGCGGATATGATGGAAATGAGAAATCGGCGCGACGAAACTAGAGGAGACAGAAGACTGGAGCATCTCGTAGCTGTGACGTGAAGAAATGAAAAAACTGGGTTGGAGGAAGTCGTTGGTGAAGAAGACGCGAAGAGGACCAAGAAGCCCCATCTTTCGAATTTCATGGATGGTGCATAACCCATCCAGGTTCCCGTATCGCCATGGCGATACCGTCAACGGCGAGACGCACCTGCGCTGGCATCGTCTGCACAGAGATGATTGGCGGGGTGATGTCATACAGAGGCTGACATTGCCGCGCTCATCATATTCTGTCCTCGTCTGCTGCGTGCTGAGTCACGAATGCTAGTTGACGGTTGCAAATGTTGCTGTAATGGCAACATACAGCGTGTACACGGCGGGAATCTTGCCGAGTGCAGATTCCCCACGTGACGCATGCTGGGCGTGTTCAATGGACTGGGCCCCGTCACGCGTAAGGGGGCCATTTCGGGGAAACTCAGGGTCCGCATGGATGTCGCATTCAGGGTTCGTACGCGTTACTCCCTGAAAACTCAGTGTTGGGATAACGCAAACCCTGAAATTTGAAGTGTTCACAGACATACAATCCTGAAGAGGTTAGGGTTCAAAAATACCCAACCCTGAAAATTAAGGGTTGGCCAAAAAAATACCCTGTCAAATCAGGGAATCAGGGTAAAATACCCTGATAACGACAGGCCTGGCACCATCACTCTCACACAGTCACACTTGGTGCGCCTGGTCCTTCAGAGGTTCGGTCTTCAGTTCTCCTCCGCACAGCCCACACCTCTGCTAGTAGACCACATGCTCTCTGCTCCAGTTCCTGAAGAGTCAGTAGAGCCCAGTGGTCCTTACGCAGAGCTGGTGGGTTGCCTCATGTACCTGATGACTTGCACTCATCCAGATCTCGCATACCCTCTCAGCATCCTGGCTCGCTTTGTGGCCACAGGCTGACACCGACCACAGCACTGGTCGGCCGCTAAGAGGGTTTTGCGTTATCTTGCAAGTACATCAGGCATGGGGTTAGTGCTGGGAGGACGCAGGCCAGTGGTCCTTACTGGGCACATTGACGCTTCTTGGGCAGATGATGCTGAGACCCTCAGGTCCTCTCAGGGCTACTGCTTTAGCCTTGGTTCGGGTGCCATCTCGTGGAGGTCCACTCGCTCCTCGTCTGTTGCCCAGTCTAGCTGTGAGGCTGAGATCTACGCGGTGCCATGGCGGCACAGGAGCTCCGTTGGCTGACCTTCTTGCTCATCGACTTAAGTGAGCGGCCTAGCTGTGCCCCGGTTCTGTACGCTGACAACACGGTCATAATCCTCCCGTGTCAGGATCCTCGACTTGAGGGCAGAGCGAAGCACATCCAGCTGCGGTACTTCCTCATGCGCGAGCTACTGCAGCGTTGCCAGGCCCGCGTAGTACACTTGGCCTCTGGTGCCAACACAGCTGATATCTTTACTAAGGCGCTTGCGCCTAAAGATCATCAGCGGTACTGCTTGCAGCTTGGTCTAGTTCCTATAGACTCTCACTTGCTAGGACCTTGATTGTGTACTCCTCTTTATATATACCTTTCAGACTGGCCTTGTGGCTTCTCTTCCAGTGGCCGGACTAGTAGTGCCGCCCTGGTTTGCTCCTGTCTTGTTTGTACTCTTGCTGACTGGTCTTCGGACCCCTGTCTCAATGGTTGGACTAGTAGTGCCACCCTGAGCTGCGTGTTACTTGCTCAGCACTGCCCCTTATCTAGCCTAGGGGGTGTGTCAACTTATACATATATTTGTATGTAGAAGTTATAGGCTAGATTAGTGTGTGTCAACTCCAACCCTATATCTCCCTTGTTCACCCTTGTTTCTAATCATTCTTGCATTCTAACAAACAAGTGTATGTGTACAGACAGTTACAATAGTGAGACATATGCACACTGTGCACGGCGTTATGTTATGAATACAGGTCAGTCAGTGGTGCTGTACCCCATGTAGCACGATCCGTTTGCTGACATAAATGTCAGGAACTGTAACTACACTCCAGGCGAATCTGCCAGCTGGTTGTCTCCCTGGTGAGATGTCATTTGAAGTAGCAGCAGCAGCATTGTCAGCAGCAGCAGCAGCATTGTCAGCAGCAGCGGCAGCATTGTCCGCAGCAGCGGCAGCATTGTCCGCAGCAGCGTGAGCAGAGGACCCGCCCTGGTTGTGCTGCTGATGCTGCAGCTGTCCTTGCGTTTGCACTATATCCACATCGATGTTTGTATGCACACTTACATGCATGCCTCCGCGCATGCCGGCATGCATGTGCGGAGCCGCATCTTCATACATGCTTCTATGCATGTGTGGAGCTGTATTGCCATCTATGCTTCCTTGCTTGTGAATCAACACCAAGGGGCTTTCGTCACTTGGCGCTATGAGGCGGGTCACATGGCTATCACCACCAAGCATGGGCGTCTGCAGCAAGGGGGGCAGAAAAACAGAAGGGAGATGGTGAGAAGGAGGCAGACAGAAGAGACGCCACACCAAAGGGCTTTTGTCACTGGGAGGTGCGAGACAGCTTACATGGTTACAACCATCAAGCATGGGCGTCTGCAGTAAATGGGGCATCAAAACTGAAGGGAGGTGGAGGGAAACAGGCAGTTGAGAGGGGGCGCGCAACAACAAAAACACGCCGCCTCGAATCTATCTCACCCTTCCGTTCCTCCTCAGTAAACCTGACCGGCTTAGGGTTTTGCACCCTCCCCCCCAGCATCAAGCCATCTGAACTCTCACCTGCCACCTTTACCCCTTTCACCATGCATGCAACATGTCCTGCTCTCTCACCCTAGACTGGCCTTTCAAGACCAGTGTCCTTCCTTCCCTTCCCCTTGCCCATTTGTCCTTCCTTCACGTCCCCTTGCCCATTTGTCCTTCCTTCACGTCCCCTTGCCCATTTGTCCTTCCTTCACGTCCCCTTGCCCATTTGTCCTTCCTTCACGTCCCCTTGCCCATTTGTCCTTCCTTCACGTCCCCTTGCCCATTTGTCCTTCCTTCACGTCCCCTTGCCCATTTGTCCTTCCTTCACGTCCCCTTGCCCATTTGTCCTTCCTTCACGTCCCCTTGCCCATTTGTCCTTCCTTCACGTCCCCTTGCCCATTTGTCCTTCCTTCACGTCCCCTTGCCCATTTGTCCTTCCTTCACGTCCCCTTGCCCATTTGTCCTTCCTTCACGTCCCCTTGCCCATTTGTCCTTCCTTCACGTCCCCTTGCCCATTTGTCCTTCCTTCACGTCCCCTTGCCCATTTGTCCTTCCTTCACGTCCCCTTGCCCATTTGTCCTTCCTTCACGTCCCCTTGCCCATTTGTCCTTCCTTCACGTCCCCTTGCCCATTTGTCCTTCCTTCACGTCCCCTTGCCCATTTGTCCTTCCTTCACGTCCACTTGCCCATTTGTCCTTCCTTCACGTCCACTTGCCCATTTGTCCTTCCTTCACGTCCACTTGCCCATTTGTCCTTCCTTCACGTCCACTTGCCCATTTGTCCTTCCTTCACGTCCCCTTCTCTGCCATCAGATACGGCCTCCCCCCGACCCACTTGCCCATTTGACCTGTCCCCTATAATTTCCCATAGCTGTCATCGCGAGCTCAACTCACCTTCCCCATGCGCCTTGTTGTGCCCTTCTCATCGCCTCATAACAATGCGCGCCCGCCATCACATGCACCCTGCGCCAACCCACCTCAGGCGCAACCCCAGCTTACCGTCCATGCGCCCTGTTCAGCGGTCCTCATCGCCTCATGGCAGTGCGCGCCCGCCATCACATGCGCCCATCCCTGCACGAACCACTTCGAGCTCAACCCCATCTCACCTTCCATGCGCCCCATCTCACCTTCCATGCGCCCCATCTCACCTTCCATGCGCCCCATCTCACCTTCCATGTACCCTGCTGCTGCCTCCTCATCGCCTCATGGCAGAGCACGCCCGCCATCACATGAGCGGACAGGAAATCCGCTACTTAAAGCCCAACTCACCAGCCCACCTGTATCACACAACCGCCTCTCACCTGCCATGCGCCCTTCTGCTGCCTCCTACTCATCGCTCCATGGCAATGCGCGCCCACCAGCACATGCGCCAACAAGAAATCCGCCACTTCTCTGCTGGATCCCGCCACGTCAGCACCTGCTGCCACATCACCGGCCTTATCCGCTTCGTCCACGTCATCCTCGTGCCCCATAGGCCGCTCGTCCTCTGCTGCATCTGACAGCCTACGGCCCTTCTTCAACCCTCCCTCGTTAGTAGCTTCCTCGCTGCTCGGAATATTCTGACTGTCTTCTATAGTCACATTCAACCCTCCTTGAATTGCCTCGGCTGTCGCATCGGCCGCTGGCTCGGATGTAGCATCGGATGCTGGATCGGATGTAGCATCGGATGCTGGCTCGGATGCAGCTTCGACTGCTGGCTCGGATGCGGCATTTGGTGCAGTTCGCAGATGGTGTCCAGGTGCCGAATGCTTGAGGCTGGTGGACGGGTGGAAGCACCCGTCGGTCGGAACCAGCAGCGTGATCGGCTGCCCCGCCAGCAGCGGCGCCACTAGCGCTGACGCGATTTCGTCTGCCGGAGAATGGGGGGAAAGGGGGAATGGGGGAATGGGGGAATGGGGGAAGGGGGGAATGGGGGAAGGGGGGAAAGGATTGTAGCGCGTCGAGTGGTGGAAGCACCCGTCGATCGGCACGACCAGCGTGATCGGCTGCCCCGCCAGCAGCGGCGCTACCAGCGCTGATGCGATTTCGTCTGCCGAGGGATGGGGGCAAAGTACGTGGGGGAGGCGCAAGGGGCGGATGGGAGGGGAGGGGGTCGGGAAGGGGGGGGTTGTAGCGCGTGGAAGAGGGGTGAGAGCAACCGTCTGCCGGCACGAGCAGCGTGATTGGTTGAGTCGACTCAAAAATATTATGACTGACGGAGGGGGGGGATTGCGGAGGGGGGGGGGGGGTTGGGGAGGGGGAGACGCGGCTGAACCGCGTGGGATGGTGGAAGCAACCGTCTGCCGGGGAATGGGGGAAGGGGAGGAAAGGGGGAAGGGGGGAAAGGGTTGTAGCGCGTCGAGTGGTGGAAACACCCGTCTGTCGGCACAAGCTGCGCGATCGGCTGCCCCGCCAGCAGCGGCGCTACCAGCGCTGATGCGATTTCGTCTGCGGGGAATGGGGGAAAGGCGGTGGGAAGTTGGAGGAGGAAAAGGGGGGGGGAGAGAAGACAAGATGGGCAGCGTGATCGGCTGCCCCGCCAGCAGCGGCGCTATCAGCGCTGATGCGATTTCGTCTGTCCGCAGGGTGGGGGGAAAGGAAGCGGAAAATGAGAGGTGGGGGGAAAGGAAGCGGAAAATGAGAGGCACAAATGGGGGGAAGGCAGTGGCGGGGGGAAAGCGGTTGTAGCGCGCGGAAGAAAGAGGCCACATTACAACCGCTGAAGGAACGGGAAGATGCGCGAAAGGAAAATGTGCAAGGGGGAGATCGTAACGGGTATCGGGGAAGGCACTACAGAGCGCAAAACGAAACGAAACCCCTCCTGGCATGGGGGAGTTGATAATTCGGTTTTGAGACGTCTCAAAAAGAAACCTGGCATGGGGAGTTTGCATTCGTACGAACCGTATCGCTCGTCGAGAAGCTGGCGAAACACGGCGAAACCTTTCGCAGGCACGTGCGACAGCGCGCGACGCACTTCCTCCGCCGCCGTCCCCTCGTCCATCGCCGCCGCCGCAACCCCGGTTTCCGCCGGCACCGCTGCCGCGGTCTCTTCGCCACGCGGAGGGTGGAAGCCGCCGTGCCGGCCGCCGGCGACCCCGGCAGCGGCAGAGAACAGCAGAAGTGATAGGGTGACAGCTGGCAGAAGTGGATTGGACGCCGCGCATCGTGGCAATACCGGAGCCATGGTGACGTGGCACGCGGAGAAAAGAAACTGAACCAGCTGCGAAAGTCGCGCCCGCACCAGCAGCAAGAAACGCACGGAGAGCTTCTAGCTGGCCCCACAGCTGCGAAAGTCGCGCCCCCGCCCACGCCCACGCCCGCGCCCGTGCCTGTTGATAAGTTGTGTGGATATAGGGTTACCACAGCCTTCCTGCGCTCTGATTTGAGCCGCCTTAGATTAGCACCCGCTCTAACGACTCCGAAGGGTGTGTTTTGAGTCGACTCAAAACACAGTCGTGTGGATATAGGGCTAGGGCTACCACAGCCTTCCTGCGCTCTGAAATGAGCCGCCTCAGATCAGTTGATTTTTGAGCCGCCTCAGATCAGTTGATTTTCGACTCAAAAATGAGCCGCCTCAGTTCAGCAGCCCCTCTGACAACTCCGGAGGGGCATATTCTTGCTGACTTGCGCTGGCGTTACATGGAAGTCGCTGCCGCTGATGCGGCGATGTTAACGACTCGATACTAGCAACTCGATACTAACGACTCGTTACCAACGATAGTTGTTGCACGAGCTTTCCGGATGAAGAAAGAGTCGTTACCAACGACTTGTGTGCTGGGCGGAGGGAAGGAAACACCTGCCGCGTTTTGGGGCGACTTAGAACGCGTCGAACCGAAGAGCAAATTTTTGACTGAAACGGGCGTCTTAGGAGCTCATGCTCCCATTATTCGGTTAGGCGCTGCATGCGCGGCGGCATGGGTAACTGAAACAGCACGGCGAAGAGAACTCGGAATCGCTACGAGGGGTGACGGATACGAGCTGGTAAGCCTTTCGCCTGAGCGCCTAAGAATTCGTAGAAGGTAAGGGAAGGCCTTCGGGGGTTTCTAGAGCCGATGGTGTGCCTAGTATAGTTTCGGGGGGCGCTAATGCCGAACTAGCTCAACCGCCCTAACCTGTGAAGAGCTCTCTCGCTGGCTTTTATTCTACTCGGTGAATCGAGGCCGATTTCCTAATTCGCGCCCAAGGCGCTTTTACCTGGCCTTTCTCGCGTCGCTCGCAGGGATTGCACGGAGAGAGGCTGGCATTTGGCAGGGCGCTAATTTTCCTAATGCGTGAGATGGCACTCGGTCCGGTCTTATTACGCCCCGCTATCCAACCAGCCTGGCGTGGGAGAAACTCAGGCTGTCGTGGATGGCTCGCCGTGTGTCGGTCGCCTATATACAGCTGGCTGGGAGCACACGTAATTGAAATTATCGCGCCCCGACCTTAGAGTAAATGTTGAGAGGTAGGCAATGAGAAAGCATGGGGTCGCTGGAGCGTGCTTGGGGAAACCCCAGCAGGTGATAACCAGTACAAATGGAGGTGCAGCATTTTCGTAGGGGATCGTGGTTCATGCATCACCATTCAATCGGAATTGCAGTCGAAACGAAATGTCGAAAAGGCAAATTGCATCACCGAGTCGCGAGCCGTCGGCTCGGGACGCGCGGTCCCAGCACGAAGTACCCCCCAGCTTTCGCCAGTGGCGCACGAACCACTTGGCCGTCGTGCGCGAAACGAGAGGCAGATACGCGAGAGTTTCGCCAGGATTCGTTCTGCGGATGTTGCGAAAGCTGAATGACCACGTCTCTTCAAAATGGAGTAATCAAATGCGTGCCTCTTTAGCCGCTGCTGTCAGGCGTGTCAGCGAGGAGGTGGAATGACATGCCAGCATTGTGGTGTGAAATACGGGTATATAGAGGGTTCCGTAAGAACATTCAGTTATCAATGAAAGAAGAAACGCTCTATGATACTTCAGAGTAATTTAAGTCCCCATCTCAGCACAACGACGATCACAAAAGAGTTTTGAATCGCCCTGCAGTGTCCTAGCATTGAAATTATTTGATCATGGGACCGTAGACCATCGTGTGCTTGTGCTTAATGTGGTTTGATAACCAATAATTCAATATAAAAAAAAGGCTATGTACAAAACATGGAAGTGCAACAGAAAAAAAAATGGATTCAAAGACAAGAATAGAAGCTGTCAGAGGATGACAAGGTCGATCTTGACGCGACAACTCATCATCCTCCCCCCTGTCCTCGAGAGAGAACAGGGCCTTCAGCAAAACCTGTTTTACAACATGCATGCATCAAGCTCTTCTTGCGATGGCAACTCATCATGGTCATCTTTCTCATTCACAGTGCAAACGGCCGGGCTGCTCACTCCCCCCTTCACCTGTACATTCGGGATATGAGACAAGTCCTGCCAGCCGCATATCAGCTCCTGCAGATGAGCGGCCAGAGCATCCACCCCACTGCTTCCCTCACTTGACGTTTCGCTAAGAGCAGACTCGTTATGAGCAATAGCGCGCGACGAATCTAAAACAGCTCTTGGGGAAAACGGTGGATAGGATACAGCGCCACTGCTGCTGCTGCTGTTGAATGAAGGCCCTTTTCCTCCCCTGCCGCCCTTTCTAGGAGAGCCTCTTGATGATCCATTATAAGCTGATGCAGGGCCCCGGCCTGGTTGCGCCAGGCTCCTGCCTGCTTGCCCGTACCCTCGGGGTTTACGCAAACCCGCTGCTCTAGCAGCAGCAAGGGCGGCAGCAGCAGGTGCTGACGATGGTGAGGGTGATGGTGATGGTGACGTAGAGCCACCTGGCACACCGTACTGCTGCCACGTGTTTGGCCCCAGAAAGCCCCTTGGTTGCCCATAAATAGGCCCCTCACATTCTGTCCGAGCCTGGGGCTGTCCGAACCACGGCCTGGTGTCCGGACCAGGGATGGAACGGAGGTTTGGGGCTGGGAGGTTCGGAGGTGAAGAGTTCGTTATATTTCCGAACCTATCCTGCTGCGCCCGGAGCAGAAGCTCCCGGAGCCTTGCGGGTGAGCCTTGGGCGTGGGCTGTGGCGAAAGCATTAGCAACCTGTGCTGACGTGGCAGGAATCTGTAGCTGAGATTCAAATTGTGCAGCTTTCAGCTGAGATTCAAGCCTTGCAGCTTGGACCGAAGCTGCGGCTTGGGCCGAGGCTGCGGCGGAGGTTTGGGCCGAAGCAGCCAATTGCTCCAGTGCTTGCAGTTGCGTTTGCAGCTCTGCCTGGGCCAGATGCCACTGAGCCAACTGAAGCCGCTGCTGCTGCTGATTCTCCTGCTGCTGCTGCTGTGACCACTGCTGCTGCTGCAGCTCTTGTTGCTGCTGCTGCAGCTCTTGCTGCTGCTGCTGCAGCTCTTGCTGCTGCTGCTGTAGCTCCTGCTCCTGTACAGGTGGGGATGGGTACCGTATTTTCTGCTGCAGAATCCCACGCTGCTGCTGCTGCTGCTGCTGCTGCTGCTGCTGCTGCTGCGCGTCGGACTGTAAATGAAGCTGCTGCCGTAGCTGCTCTTGAAGCTGCAGAAGCGGAAAAGCTGCAACGAGTTGTTGCTGCTGTGACCACTGTTGCTGCTGCTCCTGCCGCTGTTGCTGCTGCTGCTGCTGCTGCTGCTGCTGCTGCTGCTGTTGTTGTTGCTCCTGCTCCTGCTGCTGCTGTCGCGACCACTGCTGCTGTTTTGCCTGCGTCTCTTGCTGTTGCTGCTGAGACCACTGCTGTTGCTGCTGCTCCTGCAGTTGCTGCTGCGACCACTGCTGCTGCTGGGATACCACTATTGGTTGTGGATTCATCCAAGCATGGCCAGCCCAATTAGCGCTATTCGAGGACAACACAGACGACGAAGGAGATGACGACGTCAAATCAGACGGAGGCGTCGATCCAGACGGAGACGTCAATCCAGACGGAGACGTCAATCTAGACAGAGACGGGAAACTAGACGGCAGAGGGGACGGCTCGGGTGACTGTACTGAATCCCACAATCCAGGTGCCTGCTGCTGCGGCGAGCTCTTCACCCATTCGAATCCATCTACACCTCCCAGAACTCCTGTCGAACCTCTAACTCGTTGCTCGTTTTCGTCCCACTGACCCGTTAGAAGCGAGCCTGTAACGGGTCTTGGCGGAAACGGAACCTGTAACGGGTCGGGGCTCCTCGTAACGGGTCCCAGTTGAAACGAGCCTTGTAACGAGTCGGCACTCCTTCTAACGGATAACGGGCCTTGTAACGGGTCGGAGCTTCGGGGTGACGGCAAGGTGGAAGCGAATTGCGGCGACATCGGGGAGCGAGCCATACCAGGGTCGGGGGAACCTCTATTCGTGGCTTGAGAGTACGATTGGGCTCCAGGCGATGGCGCTCCAGGCGATGGCGCTCCAAGAGATGGGGAAGCGGAAGAAAATTGCGGCGAAGGCGGGGAGCGAGCAACACCAGGGTCGGGGGAACCTTTATTCGTGGCTTGCGAGTACGATTGGGCTCCACGCGATTGGGAAGCGGAAGAAAAATGCGGTGACGGCGGGGAGCGAGTCATAGTAGGCACTGCAGAGCCTATATTCGTCGCTTGCGAGTACGATGGGACTCTAGGAGATGATTGCCGAAGGGATGCGAATTGCGGTGACGGCGGGGAGCGAGTCATAGTACTAGTAGGGTCCGGGGAACCTCTATTCGTGGCTTGGGAGTAAGAGAAACGCGGAGATGGTGACGGCGTGAAACGGGGTGAAGGCGAGGGCTGGAAACGCGACGAAGGGAGCGGCGGGAGGGGAGAAAGGCCTGGAGAGACGAAACGGAGAGAAAGGAAGGAAGACGAACGAGCGTGTTCTTCAGTGGTCTGCTGCTAGCACTACCAAGAGCATCTACGACAAAGAAACACAGAGTCCGCAATCCAAAGTCGCAAGACAGAAGGTCCTCGTCACAATCCTTCCAAAAAGCATTTTCTTCTTATCTATAAGAGGAGTTGAAGCGTTTTACCTTCATCTTGCACTGCTATTTGAAGAGGCACGTCGACGAGCGGCGGGAAATCAGCTTGCGTATTCCACGCTCTTCGTGCGACATGCGATAACGTATCACCCATCAACGTAAGCATGCTTTTCCTCTAGAGTAGCACATGAGTAGCACATACTCCTGATAAAGCCCACAAGAACTATGCGTCGCTGCTGACTTGGCTCGCGGTCTCTTCAAGCTATCTCGGTGGGAGGAGAGGAACGGGAGTGCGAAGAGAACAATCGGCACACGCAACTGAGGATGGAGGAAACGAATGACGGCACACGCAACAACTGGCGAGATTGCACCCTGATCTTGCTTATGGCTCTCTGGTCTACGCGTTCTAGTCGTTTGTGTCTCCCTGGTCGTAGTTTCTGGATGCCAGAGAACCTCGAGGGAACAATCTCGAGGTCGAGGAGATGGCGGGAACGGGCAGGCATGTGGGAAACAAATCAAGCGGGTAGTTTATTTGGCAGAGTGTGTAACCTTGGGAACTGCGGGTAGAGAGGCGGCCCTGGGAAACATTGTCGGGCAGCACGTCGAGGTTATGAGCTCTGCTTGGTGCTCGTTGAACGTGGGCGTGGGACTTCTCGGTTCTACTGCTCAGCGCCGTAGTTCGGGCAGCTCGAAGGCAAGGAACTGATGAGACAACCTGATGTCGGGCAGCGCGCGACGAGTGAGTTATCAAATAGAACCAGCCTTCTCCCCGCAAACGTCGCAATCAGGTCAGGACCAGCAATTTCATCAAGCACCAAAAGGAGTTTGCGGCGGTTGTCTCATAACAAAATCGGTGCAGTTGGAATTTGCTCGAAACAACATTCGCGAAACGCCTCGAAACGAAAGAGCTGGGGTCCAACTTCGTGGAAATCCACCTTTCACCGACAGCGTCCAGCAGTGCCCCCACCTGCTCCATCAGCCAGTAGCGGCCAACGGCCACGTCGACAGCCGAATGGGCCGAGGTTGCGCTTCTGCAAGTGTTGGTGGTGACGTTAGCAGCTGACCCACGTTGTCGTCATGAGCTTTCCAAACCACGTCACTGCCAATCTATTTATTATGTGCCCTTACGAGCTCAACGCAAAAATTTAGGTAGTGTTGGTACAACGAAACTTCAGCTACTTAGCCACTTCAAGAAACCAGCTTACAAAAGATTGATGCGCCAGCACATACATTGCAAGAATCCAAAGATGTCCCGGGGGTTACCACATCTAGGTTGCAGCAGGCAGAAGCAGTTTCAAAATCCTTCAGTGATCAGCGGAACCTGCAAAGGCATGCACAGGCAGGGTCGGGTGCACACAGCGGATTGACACACAAAGACATGATGGATACTGGCACTGTCTGAACCTGAGATAAGCGAAACAAACAGACAACCATCAGACACAATATGGAAGAACAGAGGCAGGGAAGGAACGGCCACCCTTCAGGCACACCAGATGCCGAAGCATCAGCGGCATTAGAGACATTCGACACGGCATCAATTCCGTCCGCCCGTCTCAAGGTAACATCATCAGGGAGGAACCCAAATAGAGCAAAAACGGAAAGAAGTTGTATACGCTTAAGGGCGTAAAGCGTCTCACCTACAATGTAAATCTTCACTAGGGACAACCGGTCATGCGATCTTGTCAGGTGTTTTCGGCGCAGTAGTCCCGTTCAGAACACTTCACTCGCCGCAGTTTCCGTCGTTGAGGCATGTCACACTTCAGAACCAACAGGTTGGCCGTGACTCTAAAATAGGCACCAGGCTGGAAGAAGTTGCTCGATGTAATACACCGGGATTCAAGGTTCATGAAACCTGCAAATTGGGAAACGGGGTAACAGAACAAACTGCGATCTTAAATTTGATGCCTAGACACCCAGTACGAGACCTGGGGTCAAGACACCCAGTACGAGACCTGGGGTCAAGACACCCAGTACGAGACCTGGGGTCAAGACACCCAGTACGAGACCTGGGGTCAAGACACCCAGTACGAGACCTGGGGTCAAGACACCCAGTACGAGACCTGGGGTCAAGACACCCAGTACGAGACCTGGGGTCAAGACACCCAGTACGAGACCTGGGGTCAAGACACCCAGTACGAGACCTGGGGCCAAGACACCCAGTACGAGACCTGGGGCCAAGACACCCAGTACGAGACCTGGGGCCAAGACACCCAGTACGAGCCCTGGGGATTTCCCCAGGAAGAATGTGTGCAAGTTCATTTGACGGAAGGGCAACAGAGTGCCTCCACCGCTGGTAAGACAGCACGTAGCCAAAAGGCACGCTGATCTGGCATCGGTGTGTGGTGACTTGGCCACGAATATCGCACCCCAGCTGCCTCGACCCCTCCGAAGAGGGGGAGGCAGGCGGAGAGCGACACAGGCATAGTCACCGATTGTCCGATGCGTGCGAAGAGAAAACGTTAAATAAAACGCGAGCAATAGGAAAGACAGAGGTGCAAGAACGAAAGACGGGAGCTCTGGAAATGGTGTAGGGGTACGCTGGGACTAAGGGGAAATAAAAGAAAATCAGTGGCAAAGAAAAGGGGGGAACCACGGGTATCGCACCTGAAACATAGCCGTTTCAGGCAAAGCCTTAGATCGATGCAGGCCAATGCAGAGTTATGTAGGCCGATAAATCCAATGTAGGCCGACGCAGTCCACTTGCTGAATGAGTCAATCCCCGCAGCAACGACCTGCCTCGGTCAGCGGTAGAACGCGTGAAGCGCATGACGACCGGCTTCTTGACTCGACGAGGCGTTTCTCGTTGCAGAATCCGCTTTATGAGGCGTGTCGGAAGAATGTTAGAAGCTCATGACTGGCGCCTTGACTTGACGATGCGTTTTTCATTGTTACTTGTCACGGTTGACTTGTGAGTCGACGCAAAAGCCGCATGCCACTCGCTGAAACTTCGATTTCTAAGCGTCTCGTCCGTAAACGTTGAGGCATCTGAGCGAATGCCATGTACAGGAGGGGACCGTGCAGGAGCGCCGGTCTCCCATGGACGCTAGGGAGGCTGGGAAAAAGGCCCTCCACGCTACACCACCTAGGAAGATGTTTGGTGACCTTGGCATTTCTTATGGAAGAGGTCCTTGGACGCCAAAATCTGCATCAGGAGATGAGAATGGGAGAGAACTGTGAAACCCTGAAACCTCTCAATATTAGCCGTCGATTGTTCCTTTTATTGACGGCGGAGATTACCTTTTACTGCGGTTGGGTGTGTTGAAGAGGTTCCGCGTGGTGCGAGGGTTTTCGGCTGGTGGTTTCCGCGCGGGAGGTGAAGAAATTACTGGCTGGCTTGGAGCGTGGGGACGGGAACGCGCAGGCAGAAAAGCGGCACAGGACAGATTGCAGGATGCAAAGCAGTGACTTTTCAGAACCGCTTCGGCATTATCACAAGTGTTGCACAAATGCAACCCAATGTGAAGATGGACTACGAAGATCTACTTGTCCCAAGTTGATACTACTAGAAATCCGCTGAAACATATATTCCGGTCAGAGTGTACGTAGAAAGCACCATTTTCTTGGTAGAAAGACTCACAAACTCCGTGCAATAATAGTTGGTAATAAATAGTTTCAGCACGTTACATTTTCTCCTTCAAAGCATCGGCCACAAGCATCCGCACACTTCTGTTGCCTAACGCTGCTTCTCTAGCGCTCTCCTCATCACCAAAGCACCCGGCCGCCAGCAATATTGCAGTGGGCACTACTCTCTCACACTTCGCCCCAATCTTTACCATCTCCTCAACTGTTCTCCTCTCCAGGCCTTCACCCTCTATATCCCTCACCTGCTCAACCTCTTGCCCTTCCCTGTCAGCCCTTGCTTGTGCTGCCTGTGTTCGTGACCCTGGCACTGCCGCTCCACCCTTCACCACCCTCCTACCTCTCTCCCCTCTTCTCTCCCCCCTTCCCTCCTCCCTCCCCTCCATTTCCTCCTCTCTTTTCGCAACGTTTATCGCTCTCCTCACACATCTCTCCGCCTCCTCCTCCCCTACCCCCGCCAGCTCCCCCACAACCCTCACCGCTCTCTTAAAGAGTTTCTCATTACTCACTCTAAGGTCCACCATGCGGTTACCGTACACCTTGCCTAGAAGCACGTGGGCCCCACTACTAGCGATGTTAAGTGCCAGCTTCACAGCTAGTTGTGAGAAGAGGTCGGTGCGGGGGAGGAGAGGGGCGGCGGAGGGAGGGGGGAGGGAGATGGAGACACGGAGGAAAGTGGGAGTGGTGGGGTGGGAGGAGGGAGAGTGGGAGGAGGTGGAGGAGGAAAACGAGGAGAATGAGGAGGCGAATGGGAGGTCTGAGAAGAGGGAGGATGCAGAGCCCATGGGCTTAGGTCGTCGCCTCCTGACTGCTGCTGCTGCTCCTGCTGCTGCTTCTGCTCCTGCTGCTGCTGCTGCTCCAGCTGCTGCTGCTGCAGCTCCTTCTGCCGCAGCTCCTGCTGCTGCTTCTGCTGCTTCTGCTTCTTTTTGCTCCGCTGTAACGCTGCCATGCAGATTCTGCCGCCCTCTGGCTTCGCATTCTTTGACACTAGTGTCTAGTAGCGCCTCCGTTTCTTCCTCATCCACTGACTCCCACTCACTCTCCTCCTCACGTTCCTCCTCGTCCTCTCTCGCCTCATTCTCTCCACCCTCTTCTCCTGATTCCCGTCCCACAAGCACTCCTGAATCACTACTTCCTTCCACCGCTTCATCCTTCTCCTCTTCTTCAGACTCCTCTCTCTCCCCCTCCTCCTCCTGCTCTCTCCCCTCCTCTCCCTCCTCATCCTCCTCTCCACCCTCCTCCTCCTCATCCTCCTCTCCCCCCTCCTCCTGCTCCTCCTCCTCACTCTCTTCCTCCTCCTCTTCCTCCCGCTCCTCCCCCTCCTCCATTCCATCTTCGTCGTCATACACCACTAAGAGCCGGTCGTGATTTGCCACACTCACACTTAGCAAAGCGAGGGACAGCAACCCCTGCTTGGCTCTTAAGTGTAGGGCAGTGAGGAGGGGGAGAGGAAACAGCTGTGGCTGTAGCACGTGTGACTCTAACAAGAGTACAGTGTCGTTGGCGCTGAAAGCAGCAGGAGGGATTGAGAAAGGGAAGAAAAAAGGGGAGGAAAGACGAGTGGTGGCTCGTGGCTGTGACAAGTGTGACTCTAACAGAAGCACAGTGGCATTAGCTGACTTTTGAGTCGACTCAAAAGTCAGCTCCAGCTGTAATCACAGTGTCATTAAAAATGAAGGCATCGAGACACAGAAGAGAAGGGAAAGACAGAACGCAGAAGGGAGAGACTAAAGGGAGAGAAAAATGGAGAAAAAACGGAAAGGAAGAGAATGAGAATCGGTAGTGGGTTGGTTCTTGAGTCGACTCAAGAGTGGCGTTAGTTCTTGGTTCTTGGTTCTTACCTTGGGCTTTTCACCTTGCACAACTCACCTTGTGCAACTCACCTTGTGCAACTCACCTTGTGCAACTCACCTTGCACAACTCACCTTGTGCAACTCACCTTGTGCGACTCACCTAACGGTGGGCAGTTTTCCTCCCTGTGAAGTAGTCTGTTGTCTCAGGCTAAAGGGGATGGCACAGGCTGGCCAGCCTGCTCCTTCAGCAGTCTTGCTGACGTGTGGGACGTGGAAAAGCAGGGGATCATCTCACCTTGTGGTTGGGAGAACCTCGTTAAGAGAGTAGTCTGTGCTGATAGATCTTAACGGTTCCAGTGTAGATTGGTGTGAAGGACACCGGGACAAGAAGAAAGGTGGAGCCGTCTTACCTTGTGGTCGGGAATACGCCCTTTAAAAAGTAGTCTGTGCTGGTGCATCTTACTGGTTCCGGCGTAGGTTGGCGAAGGGAATGGGAGGAGGCGAAGGGGATGGGAGGAGGCGAAAGACATAACCACCTCACCTTGTGGTGGGGAGAATCTCTTCCATGAAGTAATCTGTGCTGATACATCTTAACGGTTCTGGCGTAGGTTGGCGAGACACAGAGCGGGATGGGTGCACAGCAGCAGCAGCAGGAGCACTGAAGGGAAAGAACCACGAGCTGGTTCTACTGCCACTGCTAGTGCTCGTGTCACTGCCCCTGCTGCTCCTTCCTCTGCTGCTTTTCTTGCTTTGGCCTTTGCTAACTCCTGCCTTACTGCTGCTGCTGCTGCCATCACTGTTTCCACCAGCACTGCCACTCTTTTTGCCACTACTTTTCCCAACAGCACTTCTGCCATCTCTTCTTCTTGTACCACTGCTGCTATTCCCTCCTGCACCACTGCTGCTAGGAGCAGGTGAACCCAAGGGGTCAACTGTATGCTGGTTCAACGGACGAATCAGGCGGTGCCACGTGGTAGTGAGAAAGGCCTGGAATGAGCCTGGCCTTGCTCCGAAGGTGGGGACTTGCTCCGAGGCATCTAAGAGAACGATAAGAAGAGAGAGGAAGGGAGATGGGGAGTTGGAGAATATTTGAAGGCTCTGACATGCCTGGAACAGGAATAGGGACGTAGGGGAGCTCAAGGGGTCGACAGTATGTGGGTTCAACAGATGAATCAAGCGGTGCCACGTGGAAGTCAGAAAGGCCTGGAAGGATCCGGGCCAAGTTCCAAAGGTGGGAACTTGGTATGAGGCGTCTGAGGGGGAGGAGACATGGGAGAGGACTGGGAGAGAGAGGCAGTGAGAGAGGCCTGGAAGGAGCCTAGCCTAGTTCCAAAGCTGGGGACTTGCTCCGAGGCGTCTGTGTGGGGGAGGGTGAATGACCAAGGGCAAAGGCGTGAGTAATGAGTCGACTCATTACACACTGACCAAGGGCAAAGGCGTGAGTAATGAGTCGACTCATTACACACTGACCAAGGGCAAAGGCGTGAGTAATGAGTCGACTCATTGCACACTGACCAGGGCAAAGGCGTGAGTAATGAAGGGTGAATGACCAACGGCAAAGGCGTGACCCATGTGCACTTGAGTGACAGTAGCGTGGACTCACTCGACAACGAGTTCCTGAACATAGCCTCCCGATACCCTGGGTTGAAGGCACTACACGTGAGATGGAGAGATGGACGTTACACGAGGAAAGATGAGCACCTGATGACGCCAGCGGGCCTTGATGTGCTATTCAAGAACTGCACATGGCTGGAGCAACTCTCACTCTTTCGTGGCGTCAGAGGTTTCAAGCTACCAAAATCCTTCTATCAGCCGAATCATCTTAACACGCTTCTTGTCACAAACCATGGAGTGCTGAAAAGACCCCGGTTTCAAAAGCCTTTCATCTCTCACCACCCTCTAAATTGGATTACCACAAAAGCATCCAAATCCCTCTAGTCTTGTTCACCTTCCAAGACTTGCTCGCCTTTCCCTCCTCACTGCAATTCACAATACTGATCACCAAGTAAAAAGATTCGGACGTCCTCCTTCTTCATACATGCGGCTGCATTCATCCTACTGTTGCTGAAATTCACAGAATCGTGTCATAAGTTCGACTTTATATTTCCATTAGGTTCGCCATGGATTAGGCTAGAGGAGGTGCTCATCACCAAGTGCGACGAGCTCCACCACCTTTCCATCATCAAGGTCTCCACAAGAGTTAGGAAGATGGTGAAGCCCATCGCACTTGGTGATGAGCACCCCCTCTAGCCTAGTCCATGGTGAACCTAATGGAAAGCTGAAGTCCAACTAATGATACGATTCTGTGGATTTTAGCAGCCCCATACATGACGGAGTAGGATGCGTTCATCTTTCAACTCGGGGCGGAGCATTGTGAACTGGTGTGAGGATGGAAAAATGAGCAAAGCTTGGGAGGTGAACGAGGCTAGAGGGGTTTAAATGCTCCCATGGAAAGCCAATATAGGGGGTGATGGGACATGAAAGACTACATGGTTTGTGACAAGGAGCGTGTCAAGACAACTCAGGTGATAAAAGAATTTCGGAGCTCGAAATTCTAGAGCCACGAAAGAGTGAGAGTTGCTCTTGCCGCGTGCAAATCTTGAACATCACATCAAGTTCCGCTAGCATTATCAGAAGCTCCTTCCCTCAAGTAACGCCATACCCCCATCCCACGGGATGGGAATAGCCTTCAGCCTAGGGCATCCGAGGTTAGATGAGAGAGGAACTTGTCCTCTAGTGAGTCCACACTACCATTACTCAAGTGCATATGGGTCAAGTTTGGAAGAGGGTGAGCAGAAGTCAGAACACAACCCTTTCAGGCACATCTAGGCGTTGCTCTGAAGGTTGGGACATGCTCCGAGGCATTTTAGGGGGGGAGCAGGGAGAGAGTTGGGATACAAGACCATATGATTGTGAGATGAGATGTACAAATCTCACCATTAAAGCGCAAGGCTCAAAACCCCACAGATCAAAACCTAAGTTTTGAGACTCGCGCTTTAAGCTTAGCAATCACAAGTTAGTAGATTTGTACTAAGAGCCTACGTGACTCTGGTTCCTCAAGTCTTGCTTATGTCTTACCTATGAGTCCCACGAGTCCCAGAGAGTGATCCCCAATGCACATGACGCAGCCATCGCTGCTGATGGTAGTTTCGTTTTGAGATATCCCAGAACTACCTTATGGTTCCTCAGGTCTTACCTATGAGTCCTAGGAGCCCCAGATAGCGATCCGCAATGAACATGACTCTACCACCACTGCTGATGGAACGACCTTTGTGAACCCAATATGAGACACATCCCCAATCTAGGCCTCGCATCAATATGGAATGCAGCATCTCACTTATGAGTCCCACGAGTCCAAGAGGGTGATCCCCATTGTGATAATAGTCTAGCTTTGAGGCGCCTCAAAACTAGACAATCTCGAAACCACCTTGTGGATCCTCAAGTCTCACTCACCTAAGAGTCCCATGAGTCCAAGCGAGGGATCCCCAATGTGCATGACCCGACTACCGCTGCTGATGGGCATGCTCACACGAATGCCCACATGCCAACATAAATGTGATATGCGCGGATGCACACCCACCCCGCCCTCATTAAATACTAGTGACTCACCTATTTGGCCAACCAGGTCAGATGAGCCTCCCACTGCTCCTGATGGACTGATATGCTCACACAAATGGCACATGCACGCATGCAATGCACACCCACCCCGCCCACATTGAATTCACACTTCTCAATTGTAAATAAGTTCAACCTGACCGAGTGAGTGATCCCCAACCCAAGGCATATGAACCTGCCTTCGCTGCTGATAGTACAACATGCTCATAGTTTTGAGGCGCCTCAAAACTAGAATTCTATCATGCTGATTGAACAAACATGCTCATACAAACGCCACATACAATCATGCACATCCACACAGGATGTGTTTTGTTTTTTGAGAATTCTCAAAAACAAAACGCACCCACACAGCCCACATTGAATTCACACGTCTCACCTATAAGTCCAATCAGACCGAGTGTACAAGACCCGGCCACCGCTGCTGATGGGGAAGCTCATCCCTAATGCCCCATACACGCATGCACACCCACCCTGCCGACACAGAATGAAGTGTCTCACCTATGAGTCCCACGAGGCCAAGCGAGTGATCCCCAATGTACATGACCCTTCCACCGCTGCTGATGGAGCGATGGAAGAGGCAAGTGAGAGACTGATGGGGGGCGAAGGGGAAGTGGAAACGAGGAGGAGGTTTTGTATTATAAAAGGGCCGGCGGGTGATCCCCAATGTGCATGACACGACCCTGCCACCGCTGCTGATGGAGCGATGGAAGAGCCGAGTGAGAGACTGATGAGGGGGGAAGGGGGAGGGGGGAACGAAAGAGGGGAAATTGAGGGGGAGGCTCAGTGCAGTCAGACGGCCCAGAGAGCCTTCTCCAATTTACATGGCCCGGCCTCACTGCTGACTTTTGAGTCAACCCAAAACGAGGTGACTTTTGACTTTTGAGTCAGCTCAAAACGAGGTGACTTTTGACTTTTGAGTCGACTCAAAAGTCACTTCAGTATGGTCAGAGGGCCCAGAGAGCCTTTTCCAATTTACATGGCCAGACCTCGCTGCTGATGGAGCTGTGGAGGAGACGAGAGAGGCTGTGATTGGCTGCCGAGGGGGGAGGAGGCAGAAGCACATCGCCATACCGGGCCGCAAGGGGAGGAAGATGTCTACAATAACCCATGGTAATCAAGGGTGATTGCTGGTTATTGGTCCACATTGCCTTTCATTAGATGCCATCTCATCCCGACACCGAGCACAAGGCCGGGTAGGCATCATGTTAACCCACAGTAATGCTGGGTAGTTGCTCATACCGATAAACACACAAACAGTCTAAAGCTATCAACAACCCACCACAATCCCGGGCAGTTGTTGGAAATACCCCCTCATCGCCCCCTCATAAGCCGCCATCACATCGCTGTACCGAGCCGTCGAGGGAAGCTATACATTGGAAATAACCCACCATAATGCTGGGTAATTCCTGGTACTCCCCCTAATCGCCCCTTCATAAGCTGCCATCACATCCCCGTAACAAGCCCTGGGGGCATCTCTAGGCTTGAGCAAAATACCCGCGCAGGTCAGGTACCCGGACCCGGATCCGTTTTTTGGCCGGGTCGGGTATCTGAAATCCTGATCATTACCCGGCGGGTCGGTTCCGGGTACCCGGGCCGGGAGGGTATTTTGTACCCGATGCCCGAATTGTTACCCGACCAGGCGGGTAACGGGTACCTGTCGGGTCGGGTAATAAATACCCGGCGGCGGATAATACTCCGATTTTGCATGGAAAAACACACTCAGACACCCTCTTTCTTCTGATTATAAATTCCTGCGATGTCGTTGGTACCCCCCACACACTCCAGGGCAGAACCAACCATGACAAACGAGGGTCAATATAAGTTAGTTCAGGCCTGTTCATAAGGGCGGGTAGCAATACCCGAATTTTACCAGAAACGGGTCGGGACTCGGGTATACCCGGACCCGCCAGGTGGGTATTGTATTACCCGCCCTCTAAGGCCGGGTCCGAGTAAGGGTCCTGGGAATATTACCCGACCCGCACCCGACCCGAAAATACCTGACCCAAAGTCCGGTATTGCAAAACCGGGTCGGGTCTGGTCAATACCCGGTTTTGCTCAACCCTAGGCAACTCTAATCTTATCGATAAAAACACAGCAACAGTCTAGAACTATCAACTACTTACCACAATTCCGGGTAGTTGTTGGTAAACCCCCCTCATTGCCCCCTCATAAGCTGCCATCACATCGCTGTAACGAGCCGCCGGGGCAGCTTCAGTTCGGCCCCAGCCCACCCGAGCCGCCCGCCGAACCGCCGTGGTAGCCTTGGGAGTGAGCTCCGGTGGAGGGTTGATGAGCAAGAGAGGGACTCCTGCATCTATTAGGGGGGGAAGGGGGGAGTGGAGGAGGTGGGAAGGGGGAGAGGGGGAGGGGGAAGGGGGGAGGAGAGTTAGGTGGGTTTGGTATGAGGGGAGCATCCTGCCGAGCCACCGCAGTAGCTTTGGGAGTAAAATCCAGTGGAGGATGAATGAGTAAGAGGGGAACTCCTGCATCTACTAGGGGGGGAAGGGGGGAGAGGAGGAGGTGGGAGGGGGGGGGAGGAGGAGGTGGGAGGGGGGGAGAGGAGGAGGCGGGAGGAGGGGAGAGGAGGAGGCGGGAGGGGGGGAAGGAGGAGGTGGGAGGGGGGGAGAGGAGGAGGTTGGAGGAGGGAGGTGATTTTTGAGTCGACTAAAAAGTCTTACAATGAGTAAGAGGGGAACTCCTGTATCTATGTACATGGTGGCCGGGGGGAGAGGAGAGAGGTGGGGGCGGGGGTAGAGGAGGAGGTAGGGGCGGGGGGGAGGGAGAGGTAGGGGCGGGGGGGAGGGAGAGGTAGGGGCGGGGGGAGGGAGAGGTAGGGGCGGGGGGGAGGGAGAGGTAGGGGCGGGGGGAGAGGGAGAGGTAGGGGCGGGGGGAGAGGGAGAGGTAACCTGGGCAACCTGGGCAACCTGGGAAGGAATGGCTCGGCTGAAGATGGGTTCCAGAAGAAACCTTATGGCACATTGAAGTCATAGACCCGAAACCCAATACCCCAGAGTCCCGAACACCAAGTGTCAGACAGTCACAGCTTCCGAGAGCAGGCAGTAGGAGCACTCGGGCAAGGAAGCGATGGTCATGGCTCCGCTGAAGGCAAGGAAGCGATGGTTATGGCTCAAAAGTCATTTTGAGTCGACTCAAAAGCGATGGTCATGGCTCAAAAGTCATTTTGAGTCGACTCAAAAGCGATGGTCATGGCTCAAAAGTCATTTTGAGTCGACTCAAAAGCGATGGTCATGGCTCAAAAGTCATTTTGAGTCGACTCAAAAGCGATGGTCATGGCTTCGCTGAAGACGGCGTGGGGAGAAGCGATGGTCATGGACTTGACGAAAGTTGACTCAGGGGTCACGGTTGGAAAGTGCAAGGCCATATGCAGTGGAGTCTATTTTTGAGGCGCCTCAAAGTGCAACGCCATATACAGTGGAACACTCACAGCTTCCGAGAGCAGGCAGTCGGAGCACTTTGGCAATGGCGCGACCGAAGATGGTCTCGAGAAGAATCTCCGTGGCACTTCCAGATCTGACACTGACACCCTAGACAACATACTTAAAGCCCTCGACGCCATGTGTCAGACACTCACAGCTTCCAAGAGCAGGCAGCCGGAGCACTTTGGCAATGGCGCGACTGAAGATGGTCTCCAGGAGAATTTTCGTGGCAGTGCCGCCCTTGAGCCTGGTGGACCCTGTTATCGTCTCCTGTGGTTTGTTCATCAGTGGGGAAGGAAAGTGAGAGGAGTGGAAACGAGACGAGTGGAAATGCCCGAGCAGTTTGTCACAAAACTTGACTGAAAATCTCTTCGTCGCAGTGCCGCCCTTGAGGCAGGTGGACCCTGTTATGGTCTCCTCTGTTTTAGTCAAGTGGAAGGGGAGGGAAGGTAAGGGAGAGGAGTGAAAAAGCCGGAGCACTTGCCGCAGGGCAGTGCCCTCTGCAGCAGAAAAACACAACCAACCACTGTCAACCGCATTGCACCTCCCCTTGTACCTCCCCACTCACCGGGCCCACGACAGGAACGAGGATGAAGTGCCTTGGGGCAGTGCCCTCTGCTTCAGCAGCACCGATACGTGCCCTCAACACCATAATCAACCGCATTGTACCTCCCCATATGCCTCCTACTAAAAAACAGGCTCATTACACACCCTCCCATATGCCTCCTACCTACCAGGGCCACAACAGGTGCGAGAACAAAGTGCCTTGGAGCAGTGCCCTCTGATTCAGTCATCAACACGTGCCCTCAACACCATAATCGACCGCATTGTACCTCCCCATATACCTCCTACTTACCGGGCCCACAACAGGCACGAGAACTAAGTGACTTGGAGCAGTGCCCTCTGCTTCAGCAGCATCAACACATGCCCTCAACACCATAATCAACCGCATTGTACCTCCCCCTATGCCACCTACTTACCGGGCCCACGACAGGCGCGAGGATGAAGTGCCTTGGAGCAGTGCCTTCTGATTCAGCAGCATCGATACGTGCCGTCAGCTCTTTAAGGACAGACGGGAAGGACACCCCTTGAGCGCCCTGGTGAGGCGATGAGTGGGAAAAAAAGGGAGGGATCAGGGGGAGTAAAGAGAGGTGCCCTCTGCCTTCAGCAGCAGCAGCAGCAGCAGCATCGACACATGCCCTCATCTCTTTAAGAACAGACAGGAAGGACACCTCTTGGAGCAGTGCCTTCTGCTTCAGCAGCATCGATGCGTGCCCTCGTCTCTTTAAGAACAGACGGGGAGGACACCCCTTGAGCGCCCTGGTGAGGCGATGAGTGGGAAAAAAAGGGAGGGATCAGGGGGAGTAAAGAGAGGTGCCCTCTGCCTTCAGCAGCAGCAGCAGCAGCAGCATCGACACATGCCCTCATCTCTTTAAGAACAGACAGGAAGGACACCTCTTGGAGCAGTGCCTTCTGCTTCAGCAGCATCGATGCGTGCCCTCGTCTCTTTAAGGACAGACGGGAAGGACACCCCTTGAGCGCCCTGGTGAGGCGATGAGTGGGAAAAAAAGGGAGGGATCAGGGGGAGTAAAGAGAGGTGCCCTCTGCCTTCAGCAACAGCAGCAGCAGCAGCAGCAGCAGCAGCAGCAGCAGCAGCAGCATCGACACATGCCCTCATCTCTTTAAGAACAGACAGGAAGGACACCTCTTGGAGCAGTGCCTTCTGCTTCAGCAGCATCGATGCGTGCCCTCGTCTCGTTAAGGACAGACGGGAAGGACACCCCTTGAGCGCCCTGCTGAGGCGATGAGCTGATGAGAGGGGCAACGGCGAGAGGGAGGGAGCGGAGACATTAGTGCGTGAGAAAGGGCTCCTCCTGCTGCTGCAGCATCGACACGTGCCCTCATCTCTTTAAGGACACACGGGAAGCACAATCCTTGAGCGCCCTGGATGGGGGATGAGGGGGAAACGGAGGAAGCGAGGTGCTCTGAGGCCCTCTGCTGCTGCTGCAGCATCGGCACGTGCCCTCATCTCTTTAAGGACAGACAGGAAGCACGCTCCTTGAGCAAAGGGAGAAAGAAGAGAGGTGCCCTATCCGCCAGCAGTACCACCAGCAGCACCACCAACAGCAGCAACATCCGCAGCTGCTCTCAACTGACCAATGAGCCCTCCTGAGATGACTCTTAGGTCGACTCACAAGTCACCATCAACGGCAACAACAGCTGCAGCCACAACACCACCAGCAGCACCACCAGCAGCAGTAACACCCGCAGTTGGTATCAACTGACCAATGAGCCCTCCTGAGATGACTCTTAGGTCGACTCGGAAGACACCATCAACAGCAATAACAGCTGCAGCCACAACAGTAGTAGCTGCAACAAACGCATATATGAATCAGCCGTTGAGGTCCTTTTCTCGTATCCAACGGCACCTCCCCCCCTTCACTCGCTCACTCACCTTTGTGTTTGGAGCCAAACGGGGAAGATTGAAGCCCATGACACCAACGGCATAGTGCGGCTGAGCGAGGGCGTACTGGAGAGATGTGCACGTGTGCATGGGTGGGGAGCAGAGAGGGAAGGAGGGGAGAGAGAGTGCATGTGTGCGTGTGTGCAAGGGGAGGGTTGATTGAAGCCCATGACGCCAACTGCATAGCGTGGCTGTGCGAGGGCGTGCTGGAGAGAAGAGCAGTGGGAACAGATAGGGAAGGGGGAGAGAGGGTGTGTGTCTGTGCGTGTGTGCATGTGTGCATGTGTGCATGTGTGCATGTGTGCATGTGTGCGTGCGTGTGCAAGGGAGGGCTGATTGAAGCCCATGACACCAACTGCATAGTGTGGCTGAGTGTGAGCGTGCTGGAGAGAAGAGCAGTGGGAACAGATAGGGAAGGGGGAGAGAGGGTGTGTGTCTGTGCGTGTGTGCATGTGTGCATGTGTGCATGTGTGCATGTGTGCATGTGTGCGTGCGTGTGCAAGGGAGGGCTGATTGAAGCCCATGACACCAACTGCATAGTGTGGCTGAGTGTGAGCGTGCTGGAGAGAAGAGCAGTGGGAACAGATAGGGAAGGGGGAGAGAGGGTGTGTGTCTGAGCGTGTGTGCATGTGTGCATGTGTGCATGTGCAAAGTAGGCTTGAAGCCCAAGACGCCGACGGCGCATTGTGGCTGAGGGAGGGCGTACTGGAGAGGGGAGGGGAGGGGGGGGGGCAGATAGGGAATTGCAGGGGGGAAATAGTGTGTGTGTGTGCGGACGTGTTGGCGCCCAAGCCACCTACGGCACAGTGCGGCTGTGCGAGGGCGTACTGAAGAGGAGGGGAGGGGGGGGGGCAGATAGGGAATTGCAGGGGGAAAATAGTGTGTGTGTGTGCGGACGGGTTGGCGCCCAAGCCACCTACGGCACAGTGCGGCTGTGCGAGGGCGCACTGGAGAGAGAAATCGGGGAAGATAGGGGAATACAGAACGAGTGAGCCCAGAACGAGTGAGAAATTGGGGAAATACAGAACAAGAGAAATACAGAGAGGCAATGAGTGAGTGCATGTTTGCGGTGGGACTAAACGCAATGATGCGGACGATATGGTGTGGCTGAGAGGGGGGCGTACTGGAGAGAGAAGGGGAGCAAGGGACAATAGTGTGGCTGATGGGGAATCACAGGGAGGAAAATTGTGTGTGTGTGTGTGTGTGTGTGTGTGTGTGTGTGTGTGTGTGGAGGGTAGGACTAAACGCAACCAATCCAATGCCATTGGACTTATCCAATAGTGTGGCTGAGCAAGGGCGTACTGGAGAGGTAGTAGGGAGAGAGGGAGATTGGTGGAAAAAGGAAGGGAGGAAGTGCTCGTGTGGTTGAGGAGGAGCCAGGAAGGATGTCTACCACCATGTTCGCACCATGTTTTATCATGTTCGCACCATGTTTTATCATGTTCGCACCATGTTTTATCATGTTCGCACCATGTTTTATCATGTTTGCACCATGTTTTACCATGTTCGCACCATGTTTTACCATGTTTTACCATGTTTGCCCCATTCTTGTTTGAACCATGTTTGAACCATGTTTGACCCGTAAACCATGCTTCACCACGTTTGACCCTTGTTTGACCCTTGTTTGACCCATGTTTGACCCCATGTTTAACCCTTTAATTGACCCCATTTTTACCCCATGTTTGACCCATGTTTGACCCATGTTTGACCCCATTTTTGACCCTTTAACTGACCCATGTCTGATCGAACCAAGTTTGACCATTGACCCATGTCTGACCCCTGTTAGCCCTATGTTAGACTCACTTTGACTTGTGCGGCCACATAGGGAGCGCTGAGGCCACAGCTGATGCCAATCTGAGGGAAGGCGAAGTGAGGAGGGAAAGGGGGGGAGAGGGGGAGAGAAGGTGTAAATGCGAGCAAAGTAAGGTCGAAAGGAGCACTGAGGCCAGACCACAGAAAGGGTAGATGTGAATGTAAGCCAAACTAGAGAGGGTAGGATAGGGGCAGGGAGGAGTGGACGCAGGGGGGAGGGGCAAAGTGGAGTGGAGAGGAGTCCAAGGAGTCTGTGTGTGAGGCGCGTCAAAAACAGATTCCTCACGAATGGAGTCGAAAGGAGTGCAAGGAGAATGAAGATGGAGAACTGAGGGCACAGGTGATGCCAGTCTGAGGCGTTTCGCGGAGGAAAGCGAGATGAGCGGCAAGGGAGAAGCAAGAGGGCTGAAGGCACAGCTGATGCCAGTCAGTCAGATGGTATAGGAAGCGCGGAGGGGGGACGGAGGTGGGGGGAGGGAAGGTGGGAAGGAAAGCAAGGAGACGTGAGGGAGAAAGGAGGTGGGTTGGGGGGGGGAAGGGAAGGTGGAGGAATACAGCGACAACGCTCACACAGCAAATAGCCTACCCGACCATAACGTACAAAAGACACGCCTTCCATTCCAATGCAGACACCCGTTTCGTTCCAACAACAGAAGCTTAAGACACTTCTTCCAGCAACAGAAGCTTAAGACACTTCTTCCAACAACAGAAGCTTCAAGGTACGCACATAGAGCACTCTCCCACATGGCTTGCCCCACGGATTCCCCTGTGCTTCCACTCGACGCAGTGCTTTTACTGCTGCCTCCTGGTTGTCCTCCGCCCCTTCCTGCGCCTGGATGTGGGGATGGGAGTTTATAACGAGGACAGATAGCAGTATAAGGGGTCCAGACAGACACCTAACCCCGTACTTCCACTCGACGCAGTGCTTTTACTGCTGCCTCCTGGTTGTCCTCCGCCCCTTCCTGCGCCTGACAAGAGGTTGAGCGGAGAAGAGAGGGGGTGATGAGATGAGAGCACTAAGACAGGAGGTATATCGGGAGGTTGGGCAGGGAGGGAAAGGAGGCTACAATGCTTCACTGTGCTTCCACCCGTCTCAGTGCCACCTCTGCTGCCCCCTGGCAATCAGGTTATCTCCACAGATACACGGTATGCACACATACATACACACGCATACACACAGACCATGCGCATGCACATGTGCTCACACACCTTGAGTAAGCTGGCACACGCACCCTGAGACATGCACCAACCCATAGTTACACACACCCACACACACCTTGAGCAGGGCTGGCAGCCCTCCAGCGATGAGGAAGTGGAAGCAGGGCGGCAGGCCGTATCTCCTGAGCACAGCGTTGAAACAGAGAACCACCTGCAGGTAGGCGGTCAGGCAGCAGATCAGGAGGCTGGTCAGGTGGTTGTTCAGGTGCCTGGTCAGGTATTGGCCCAATGCAATGAGATAATAATGACTGAAATATGGGAAAGCTATGCCTACAAAAAAAAAAGTTTCTGGTTCTGTGGTTCTGAAATCACTGGCAGGTGAAAGCCGCATGAGGGTTCGGATTTGAATCAACAGTAATGGCCTCACAGTTCGATGAGAAAACATGCGAAAGGGACGACATTTGAGCCACCTCAAAAGCAATCACAGGCAGGTGAGGTAAAAAAAAAGGCTTCACAGTTCGATCTGAAAACATTCGAAAGGCGAGAAAGCAGTCTGCAAGGAAGAACGAAAGCACCTGAAACGCTATTCTGCCGCTTGTGCCGGCACCTGACACCACCACCGCACTATCCTGAAGGGGGAAGGGGGGGGGAGAAAGGGGGAGGGCTCAGAAGACAGATAGAGGCTCATTAACTACGCTATTCTGCTGCTGGCTGGCACCTGACACCACCCCTGCACTGCCTTGAAAGGAAGGAAGGTTGGGGCGAGGTGGAAGTGGGGGGCCGAGAAGAAAAGGTGTGGGAACCACCATCACTCACCTACATGTGATCGCTCCCCTCTTACTTACAACTGCATTGTGATTGTTGGATAGGACCAGTGGGCATTTGCTTGAACAATTTATAATACACCAAATAAAGCCGCCTTCTGGTTACGATATAAGGCAGCTTTTATTCCGGCAACAATTTCTTGACGTATAGGCCATGCTTTATGGGTTGAACTGGGGGATGTGCACTAGTCAAGTAATACATGTACTAACTTAGATACACATGCATACAACTGGAGTGGGTGGCACAGGTGCAGCACACATGGCTACAGCTGGCACAGGGCTATCAAGCACGTGAAATGGAGGTTCTCGTGGGGTAGACAGCAAAGCATGGAAGGTACTGTTCTCTAGAGGTGCATGAAACATATCAGAGGGCAAGGAAAAGACCAAGGAAAAGGACAGGGAAGAAGACAAGGAAGAAGACAAGGAAAAGGACATGCCTTGGAGAAGGAGACGATCTCAGCTGCCACTGCGGTGAGCTGGTCCACCACCCGGATGGTCTGACGCAGAGAGGGGGGGGAGAGAAGGGGGCAGGGAGGTGGGGCGGCGAGGTGGGCGGCGAGATGGGGCGGCAAGGTGGGCGGCGAGATGGGGCGGCGAGGTGGGTGGCGAGGTGGGGCGGCGAGGTGGGGTGGGGAGGTGGGATGGGGAACGTGAGGAGGGAAAGAAGGAGTCGATCTCAGCTGCCTGCCACTGCTGTGGGTTGGTCCATCACTCGAATGGTCTGACGTGGCAAAGGTAGGCAGGGGATGGGGCAGGGAGGTAGAGAAGGGTAGAGGAAGGGAGGGAAGGGGGCATAACGCGGGTGACTTTTGAGGCGCCTCAAAAGTCGCTCGAATGGTCTGACGTGGGCAAGGTAAGCAGGGGATGGGGCAGGGAGGTAGAAAAGGGTAGAGGAAGGGAGGGAAGGGGGGCATAACGCGGGTGGGGAATAGGAGAGGAGACGATCTCAGCCGCCACCACTGTGACCTGGTCGACCACTCGAATGGTCTGACACAGATTTTAAGGGGCCACTGAGGAGAGCAGGGAGGGGAAGGGCAGAGGGAGGGAAGGCAAGGGCAGAGAGAGGGGCAGCAGGAGGGAAGGCAAGGGCAGAGAGAGGGGCATAAAGGGGGTGGGGTGGGGATGATGAGAGGAGACTATCTCGCTGCCACTGCTGTGAGCTGATCCACCACTCGAATGGTCTGACGCCGACAAAAGGGGGCAGGGAGGAGTGCAGGGAGGAGTGCAGGGAGGAGTGCAGGGGGAGGAGTGCAGGGGGAGGACTGCAGGGGGAGGAGTGCAGGGGGAGGAGTGCAGGGGAAGGAGTGCAGGGGGAGGAGTGCAGGGGAAGGAGTGCAGGGGGAGGAGTGCAGGGGGTGGAGTGCAGGGGGAGGAGTGCAGGGGGAGGAGTGCAGGGGGTGGAGTGCAGGGGGAGGAGTGCAGGGGGAGGAGTGCAGGGGGAGGAGTGCAGGGGGGAGGAGTGCAGGGGGGAGGAGTGCAGGGGGGAGGAGTGCAGGGGGAGGAGTGCAGGGGGAGGACTGCAGGGGGAGGAGTGCAGGGGGAGGAGTGCAGGGGGGAGGAGTGCAGGGGGGAGGAGTGCAGGGGGAGGAGTGCAGGGGGAGGAGTGCAGGGGGAGGAGTGCAGGGGGAGGAGTGCAGGGGGAGGAGTGCAGGGGGAGGAGTGCAGGGGGGGAGTGCAGGGGGAGGAGTGCAGGGGGAGGAGTGCAGGGGGAGGAGTGCAGGGGGAGGAGTGCAGGGGGAGGAGTGCAGGGGGGAGTGCAGGGGGAGGAGTGCAGGGGGAGGAGTGCAGGGGGAGGAGTGCAGGGGGGAGGAGTGCAGGGGGAGGAGTGCAGGGGGAGGAGTGCAGGGGGAGGAGTGCAGGGGGAGGAGTGCAGGGGGAGGAGTGCAGGGGGAGGAGTGCAGGGGGAGGAGTGCAGGGGGAGGAGTGCAGGGGGAGAGTGCAGGGGGAGGAGTGCAGGGGGAGGAGTGCAGGGGGAGGAGTGCAGGGGGAGGAGTGCAGGGGGAGGAGTGCAGGGGGAGGAGTGCAGGGGGAGGAGTGCAGGGGGAGGAGTGCAGGGGGAGGAGTGCAGGGGGAGGAGTGCAGGGGGAGGAGTGCAGGAGGAAAAGGGGAGAGGGAGGGAGGGAAGGGCACGAATGGGATGAGCAGACGATCTCAGCTGCCACCGCTGTGAGCTGGTCGACCACCCGTATGGTCTGACGCAGAGAAGGGGGGCAGGGGGGTGGACAGGGGGGAGGGGAGGGACGACGCATGGGCAAAGGGACGCGGCACAGAAGGTGGACAGGGGGGAGGGGACTTTTGAGTCGACTCAAAAGTCACTAGGTGGACAGGGGGGAGAGGAGGGACGACGCATGGGCAAAGGAGACGCGACAAGGAGGCAGCATGACAGAGCGCGCAGACAGCGGATGGGCAGGGAGGTCCAGACAGCGTGGCAGAGCGAGCAGGGAGGCCCAGCCAGCGTGGCAGAGCGAGCAGGGAGGCCCAGCCAGCGTGGCAGAGCGAGCAGGGAGGCCCAGCCAGCGTGGCAGAGCGAGCAGGGAGGCCCAGCCAGCGTGGCAGAGCGAGCAGGGAGGCCCAGCCAGCGTGGCAGAGCGAGCAGGGAGGCCCAGCCAGCGTGGCAGAGCGAGCAGGGAGGCACAGACAGCGTGGCAGAGCGTGCAGCGAGGCCCAGACCGTGTGTGGGAGAGCGAGCAGGGAGGCACAGACAGCGTGGCAGAGCGTGCAGCGAGGCCCAGACAGCGTGGCAGATCGTGCATGGAGGCACAGACAGCGTGGCAGAGCGAGCAGGGAGGCACAGACAGCGTGGCAGAGCGAGCAGGGAGGCACAGACAGCGTGGCAGAGCGTGCAGCGAGGCCCAGGCCGTGTGTGGGAGGGCGAAGGCAGACTTGGGGACACCCGCTCCCCGCATGTCCCGCTCGCATGTCCCACCCGCTCCACTCTCTACATTTTACACAGGTGTCATCACACAAGTTGCTGCCACGTATTGACACAATGGCACCTATCTGGTGTTCAATCAGACTTGCGGACAAGAATCTGCATGTCCCGCTCGCATGTCTCACCCGCATAATTCAAGAAAAGATTGAAAGATACAAGCATCCTCACTTCTCCCTCTGTACTCTCACCTCCTCGTTCATCACTCCTGGGTAGCTCCAATGGCCGGCAGACTTGGGTACGTGTGGGAAGGGATAGCTTGCTCCGAGGTGACTTGGGTACGTGTGGGAAGGGATAGCTTGCTCCGAGGTGACTTGGGTACGTGTGGGAAGGGATAGCTTGCTCCGAGGTGACTTGGGTACGTGTGGGAAGGGATAGCTTGCTCCGAGGTGACTTGGGTACGTGTGGGAAGGGATAGCTTGCTCCGAGGTGACTTGGGTACGTGTGGGAAGGGATAGCTTGCTCCGAGGTGACTTGGGTACGTGTGGGAAGGGATAGCTTGCTCCGAGGTGACTTGGGTACGTGTGGGAAGGGATAGCTTGCTCTGACGCATACCGTTTGTTCTGAGGCGGAACGTTTTCGCACACCGTGTCCATCAGGCTGGGGTAACCTGCATATCCCGCGAAAAGCTGAGAGCTCTAAAGCATTCGCATGCTCACCTCTACACTCTCACTCCCTGCGCGCAGCTCACCTCTTTGTCCATCAGGCCCGGGTAACCCGCGTATCCCGAAAAAAGCTGCGCGTCGCACGCGCGGAAGATTCGCACGATTTCGTCCGGCGACGCCACGTCTATCGCCGTGGACATCTCATTTGGTCGCTCAGTGAGAGGGAGCTCGTGCGACCGGGCATCCGACTGCGAATGCGACATGGAATGCGACATTGAAAGCGACTGCGAATGCGACTGTGAATGCGGCGAAGGGTGCGAAGCTAGCCCTGATGCTCTTGTCTCGAGTCGACTCTTAGATGCGCCTCATTCCTACTTACTGCCTCGTTTTGAGACGCCTTGAAACCAATCAGTGCCAGTCGCCAATTTGCGTCTACAACTAGAGGATAAAATGGACGGTAAACCTGAGAGGTTGTCGACTACGGTTCTGATGCTTTTTTGCTACGTGATGGACTAAATTGATGCTCGCGAGCGACCTCTGGTGGACTGATATTTGAAAGACAACTGTAGAGACTCTTATGAATTATAACTCAGATTATAGCGCATAATACTATAGGTGACATGATTACAATGTGTCTATCCAAATGAGAACCTAAGAGCGTGTTCCTACCAGCCTCTTCCCAAGCAACCTCATCCCAGACTCGCGTGCTACAGTGTCGCAAATTTTGACGCGAAATGTTTCAGTGTGATTCTGCGAAGTGCGAAGTGAAATTCAGCTTCCCGAAATTCAGGGGCGTGTTTTCAAACGAGCAGATTTTCAGACAAGCGCAAATCGGCACAGTAAATTTTCGACGCCAGCCAGTTTTATGTGGTTGAGAGCGATGGAACGCAAATATGAAACGAGAGTATTCCGAAAAGTGGTTCAGGGAACACACTCTCAAGGTCGCGCGTGAGTTTGGGAAGAGGTTGCCTGGGAAGAGGCTCGCAGGAACACGCCCTAAGGCTTATATAGTGCGAGTTGACCAGGTTGAATGTCGAGGGTTGGACCAGTCAAGGGCCCGATAGTCCCGAGGGTGACGGGGTCAAATTGGATTCGGGGCGACTTGGGGTTAGGTTGGGGCCGAAAAGGTTGACGGGGGCTGGTTTGGCGCGAGAACCAAGGGCCGAGCTTGTGGACCCGCACTGTTCGCAGTACTCGCTGTGGCGAGCCCCAGTAAGGAATCGTAATTCCTTACACTCTCCCATCTTCTAAAAGAAGGCACTCCCTTTATCGAGGTCGAACCTTTTATCTAAGTTAATCCCCGAAGTGACTGTAAGTCTTCAGCCCTGTAACGAGCGTAATGATTACGCCGGCCTGACGAGGTCTTGAGTTCGAACTGAAATCGATGGTCAGAAAGCTTCGAAACTATCGCTTTTAATCTTGGCCGTCGAAGATGGTTCAATTCTTCTGCTGACCAAACGGGCAAGGGTAAATACTCCAGCGGAAGACAATGAACAGTGAAACATGTCGAGTGGTCGATTGACGATGGCGCATGGTAGCCGAATTTCTTGAAATGATGACGGACGAATAACGTAATGGTCGATGAAATGAAGAACCTGTTCATCACATGCGAGGTCGTTCGAGTCACATGCGAGAGCACGCGTCCGTGTCCTACGAAAGTCAGCGAACTCCATCAACGAAGTGACGAAATCATGCGCGAAAGCGTAACGGTGACGAATGATGTTCGAAGACGGATGATGGAACACGCCGCAAGGTCTGACGAAAAATTGTAGCACAGCTGCACTTCTCTCCCCCTCCAAGAGAAGCAGCTCGCAATTTCCAAGGTAAAACTCCAGGGTAGTCGCTGCTGAAAATTCTGATATACAGCTTCCAAGATGCCGCTGCAAAACTCCACTTCGGGTAAAATGTATTCAGGGTAAACCGCGTCGAAAGTCGTAAAATTCCGCAACTACTGCTCTAGATGACTCTTATATGAACTCCAAAATTCTTCAAAGGGCAACCACTGCTCGCATTCTGGTCCAACAAAGGTTCAACAATACTGGTGTAAAATCTTCTCTTTTTGATACGGCTGCTGTAGATTCGAATGGCGAGGCGGGGTCGTGTTAACACAATCGGGCGAATCAGGCGAATTTACGATGGAGGCGGTAGCGGGTTATGGCGAGAGGCTGACGACGATAACGATGGAGAGTAACCGATACGAATCCCGCTCTAGAGAAAAAAACCTCGAACGAAACCCGGGGTCGAATTACGCCAGCGGCATTAACTTTTTTTTTGTCCGTACACGCCGAAAATTTCGGGAAGAGCCGAAACTGCTGCTGCGCTTCTCCTCCTCTATGCACCCAAGATATTCCGAGAAAATTGGTCGATGTTGCTCGTACCCCTGAAGATAGCAGGCACAACTCCAGCTGTAAACGCTCGAACTGCTCCACAAACTTACCGAAAATGTCGGAACCGCTCGGTACTTAGTAAATACCGTAACTCCGCTTCACAACTAACCGTAAAAAATGTCCAGGCGTCACGACGTCCTTTAGCAGCACCCCCACGGTTTCTCCACCAGCTGTACGCATTAACTGAACCCTTTATCTTAGGGTTTACCGGAGTCCACCGCCTCGGCATGATGTTTTGGCCGTCGATAAGGGTCAATGCGCATTATACGCCGTTGATCTCCTCCCAGCTCTTACCCAACTCTAAAATACTCTGGTACCCCTGTCCAGCTGGCCGTGCAGACGTTCACCCATCTCCCGGCTGCTGCAGGTTACCCAAAACCGCTTTGCTGCTGCTTAGCTAACTAGGAGAATCCATAGAGATAGGAGTGCGCATGCTTCTAGTCAGAGGAGCTTTAACGAGCTCGCCTACAGACCGCTGGACAGCTCCCTCCTCCGTCGGAAACTCGTCAAACTACACCCGCAAAAGTCGGAACCTCCGTCTGCTGCACCAGGTAAAAACCCTCAGCTCCACTGCAATAGTAACTCCTAAAATTTCGGTGACACTCCATCAGCATAGCGTAGTTCACAGGTTCACCCTCCTTATTCAGCCAGAAGCCGTCAGTTTATAAGTCGACACTGCTACCTGGTAGGAATGGTGATTTTCGGGCGACGTAGCTGAGCGAGTAGCAGCCCAAACGCCGCTAACCCATCTGCTCCAGTACTCCCGTCGTTCTTCTCCCACTGCTTCAACTCCTGACAGTTAATGCATTCGGCGACCGGTGGAAAAACACTTATTACACACCCAGGGGTGGTGGCCTCCGTTTCCGTGGGGGTATGAATCGCTGGTCCACGAAAAACGCCTCCCCACGCGGGAAGTCGCCCTCGCTGAGTACACTCACTCCAGCACAGTGTCATCACCTCCAGATGGCCGTCGTGGTGTATAGCGCCGAGGATCTGACGGCATCGGCAACGCCCGCACAATTAATTTCCGCGACGTCCGCTGGCCATCAGCATCCTTCCGCCCCCTTCCCCGATAGGGTCTGCTCCTCTACCGGAAGCCTAATGGGCAGGAACGTAGCTCTGATACCAGCTGTTATGAATTATAACTAAGAGTATAGCGCATAATACTATAGGGGAACGTGATTACAATGTGTCTATCCAAATGACAACCTAAGGCTTATATAGTGCGAGTTGACCAGGTTGAATGTCGAGGGTTGGACCAGTCAAGGGCTCGATAGTCCCGAGGGTGACGGGGTCAAAATGGGTTCGGGGCGACTTGGGGTCAGGTTGGGGCCGAAAAGGTTGATGGGGGCTGGTTTGGCGCGAGAACCAAGGGCCGAGCCTGCGGACCCGCACTGTTCGCGGTATTCGCTGTGGCGAGCCCCAGTAAGGAATCGTAATTCCTTACAGAGACTCAATCGTGCCAATCAGAGAATGGCGTTGCAAGGGCCGCGGCAAAACGTGAGATTATCATGGGAAGTTGTACACCTATTCCACGGAACAGTCCACAGCAGAACACTCCAATTTGCCGTTACACTCCATGTAACCATATATCCCACTATATTTCAATGACCCTAAAATGGCCTTCCATGTTACATTCCGCCGCGGCTCGGTCAGTATCGTGGAGTGACAGACTACCCCCTTCAGGTAGGACTGAATGAAAGGCTGATACCGTCGAAAATAACTAGGAGCAGTAGAAGACACAATCATTGGCAGCTGAGTGTGAGAAGGAGAATGTTTTTTGGCGGGAAAAGCCGATGCATGGTGATTGGTCGATAATGTGGTCGTGTAATGAAGCGCAAAGAGCATGTGACGAAGGATTGATTAAAGAGGGAACAATACAACTGCGCCATCAAACAGCAGGGAGCATAGATATACCTAGCCTAGGAGCACATGGTCATGGCTCGGCAGAGCTGCGACATGTGCTTCGTAAAATGGCGCGGGGCGCCCAGATCTGGCATGCAACAGCAAGGCGGGCGACAATGTATGCGGTTCGTCAGGAGACCACATTTGGGACCGCGATTTGAATTTCGTGGCAGAGCTGCACGGCAACCTTGTTATAGCTGTGTACGCCTTACTAACTAAAATCTGTAATAAGGAAATACCATTTCCTTACACGCTCCCCCCTCCAAGGTATGGTCTTAGCTAAGTCCGCCGACGTCGCGCACATTGCGAGACTAGAGGAAGACTCGTAACACCGGGTAGTTCTCGAACTGTGCTAGGGGCACCCAACTATTTTCCAGGGCCGTCCGGTGTTTCCAAGATATCAGAAACTCGATCAGGCAAGCCCATCGAGGATCCTTGATCCGATGGCTGATAACCTTCGCAAGTTCGACAGTAGGTTCGGCGAGCGGTCGGACGTTCAGGTTCGCTCGGTGATGTAGTAGTTTACTGGTGCTAGCGATGTAGGGTCGAAGTAATCGCACGTGGAATGATGGGCTGACGTTCCAAGTGGCCGTTAACAGTAGATGGGTTGTAACGTAAGATGTCATGTGGCTGATGGTAAATGGTCAACAGTAGCGGGGGCGGATTTTTGGGACTATGAGCAGCCCAAGGTTCTGGGTGTAGAGGATTACTAAGTCTCCAGCCTGGTAAGCTACTGCCCGTCGGTGTAGATCGGCGTTGCGCTTAGAGATTACATTCGCGCACTTAATAGTTTGTGTTGCTCGCTCCCGGGCATTCTGTAATATTTCGGCGAACTGTTGGGCTCGTGGTATTGGATTTTCGATGTTGGGCGTGATCGGTACTGTGGGGTTCTATTCGTAGTTCAGGTAAAATCGTGACTGTCGTGTAGTGGCTGATGGGCCGTTATTATATGCGAACTCAATCAGTGGCAGTTGCTGCTCCCAGTCGGCCACGTTATCGCAGGTGGCGCAAATCAGCTGTACCATAATCTGATTGGCCCGTTTGGTATGTCCGTCAGTGCTGAGATGGTAGGCGGAGGAGAATTGCAGGTACGTGCCAAACTGTTCCCAGAGGTTGCGCCAAAAGTTACTGGTGAATTTCATGTCACGATCCGAAATGATGGCGGATGGAATTCCGTGGAGGC